CCCCCCCCCCCCCCCTTTTTTTTTTTGGGGGTGTGTTCCTCCCACAAAAAAAGGGGGGAATTTTTTTTTTTTTTGAAAAAAAATCAGTCCCTTAGTCCTACTCGGGTTTGTAATCCGTCAAAAAGCCGTTGATTGCTGCAAGCGTTACTTTTCATTAGGGAAACTTCGAAGCAATTTGAGAGAACCCTGCGCAATGAATACATTTACCCCCCAAAGCTCCCCCCTCCTTCCCTTCATTCTTCGCCTGTACTTGATGAGTTTCTCTGGCACAAATCAGCCCTTACAGGCACAGAATGGGCAATCCCTTGATCCCCATCAATTGTCATCCAGAGTTTGGGCCACTTTGACCGCCAATAGTGGGGAAGTCAGAGCTAATCCTTAGAAGGAATCGCGGGAAAAGAAAGGCAACAATAACCAAGTCAAGCGTAAAAAATGAAAGAGAAATCTCTATTATCACCCACTACATTTCCCAGCGATGTACTGAAAAAATCAGCTCGTTTGTCATTCGAGTCAGACACCCGGAGAAGAATATGGGGTCGTGGTGGGTTGGTAGACTCACACGACGTAAGGAGCAATATTTGAGAGCAAAAGGCCTCTTCATTTGCCAAATCCTCCTCACATCCGCCATAACCATTAAATACAGACTGACTTTATTCTGTATGAGAAGAGCAAGGAGGGGGAAAGGAGCCCTCCGCCACATATCTAGACACAAAAAGCCCAAGCAGCTAGGCATAGGCAGGCGAGGCGGAAGGAATCAGAAAGCTCTGCAGCCTCATTGAATATCTGGCTCTGGATGGGCGCGAGAAACCGAGCGAGCGAGCGTGTGTGTGCCGTGGGACGTGGGTCGGTGTGACATGGCGTGTATGGCTGGTGTATACCCTTTTGGGAAGTGGCGTTGGGCGCTTCCTCCGAATAACGGCGGGGCAGGAGAGAAATTGCGGCAGAAAGGGCGGGAAACTTTCGTGTGGGGGTGGAGTGGGTGTGGAGTGAGTGGAAGTGAGACCGGAAAAGTGCGTGGCCGGTATTTTATTTCTGCAAGGAAAGTTACATTCTGTAAAGCGGAAAAAGATTGAAAGGAAAAGCGCGGGAAATTCTCTCTCTCTCTCTCTCTCTCTCTCTCTCTCTCTCTCTCTCTCTCTCTCT